CCCCCCCCCGGCCCTTAATGTTTCCAGATTTACAAAGAGCAGCTCAACACTCGCATCATCCTGGTGGCCATGGAAACCTGGTCGTCTGAAAACAGGGTCTCCGTGGGCGACGACGCCTTGCTCACGCTGCGGGATTTTATGAAATACAGGAAGGAGAGCATCAAGGAGCGCTGCGACGCTGTGCACCTCTTCTCGTGGGTTCAACAACTGCTGCTGTTGTCTGTCTTCACTCCCTCCTCCTTGTCCTTCTCTTCTTGTCCTTTTTAACTTATTCACCTTTTTCTTTTTTCTGCCAATCCTTCTCCTCCTCCTCCTCCTTATTCTTTTCTTGTACTTCTACTTTACTTACCCTCCACCATCACCTCTTTCCCCCTCCTTCTTTTTGGTTTCTCCTCCTATGTCTCATACTCTGCTTGATCACCTCCTCCTTTTTCTTCTTTTACTCCTTCTCCTTCCTGTCTGCCACCTCCCTTTTTCCTTCTCCTTCACCCCCACCTTCATCTTTCTTCTTTCTCCTCCTCCTTCTCCACTTCTCTTTCCCATTCTTCCTCTTCTTTTTATTCTGCCTCATCTTTCTTCTCCTCCTCTTCCTCCTATTGTAACAGCAGTCTCCCTGCCTTTACTACAGTGGGAGGACGTTCATGAGCAGCCGCAGCGAGGCAGCCTACATCGGAGGCATCTGTTCACTCACCAGGGGTGGAGGCATCAATGAGGTGAGCCATGCACCCCCTACACTTAAAGATTTCACAGACTGATTATAAGTCATGGTGTTTGTCCAGTAAACTTCATAAACAGCCATTTTCCCATATGTCTTTTAAAGGTTTCTTGTTTTACTTGTATCCTCAGTTTGGCAGCGTGGGTCCCATGGCCATTACATTGGGTCAGAGTCTTGGCCAGAACATCGGCATGCAAAGGAGCAAGGACCGAACAGCTGCAGGTAAGACTAATGTACAGGGCGGAAATTTGTTCAAACCGTGCTTCATGGGAGCCTGGCAGGTAAAGACAAAACAGAAACTAGTAACCAAGTAAAAGGTTTATCTTGCCAGCTTTTAACTTTAAAGAGATGTGTCCACCAAACATACTGCAGTTTCCTCTTTTCAATAACTACCTACCTTTCTACAATATGTTTTTCATTAAAGTGCCTCAGATAAAAGTTTTATTTCCCTGTTAGATTAAAGTTCACCTTTTTGCTATATTTTTATCACACCAAGTAGTGTGAACCTGTTCTACAGCCCTTATTTGATTTACCATTGAAAACTCACTCATCACTGAGAGAACATCATCTCAGCTTTACTACCAGCTCCCTCAAGTGGTGAGGTTAAGCACCATTTTAGAAAGCATTGTTCAACAACACACTCGGCTTATCAGGTGACTGTAAATCTAATGCAGTAATACAACGGTCCTGCAGTGAATCCTCCCTCTGATAATGTTCAGTTTTTATTGAAAGCTAGGTGTATTTTGATGTATTGTGACTATGTCTTGACCTCATAGAAGGTGTGTGTGTGTGTGTGTGTGTGTGTCCAGGAGACTGCAGGTGTCCTGATCCGTGGCTGGGCTGTATTATGGAGGATACAGGGTATGCACTCATTTTATAGTAAATTAATCTGCAGAACACTTAGAAAGAATTCTCTGCTAAAACAGGACTCTATAGAAACAAAGATGGACATGTGCTTTCACTTTTACTTTGGTAAAGCATATTTCAATAACGTTTAGCCGAAGCTTGTATTGGTAAGTTATGTGAGATTTTCTTTTTCCTCTTACTATCCGGCCACTGATCTACAATGTAACGACAAAGTTAAACAGTATAAAATGTACTTTGTAAAACTTGCTTGAACCCACTACTTTGTTATTATAACAAAATATTAAGGTTTAAAGCCATTTCAAATTTAGACAGACAAGTGTAACAGAGATTTCTGTGTCTGTGTCTTTTTGTGTCATTCAGTTACTACCTCCCCAGGAAGTTCTCTCGCTGCAGTATAGACGAGTACCTGCGGTTCCTCCAGCAGGGAGGAGGAAGCTGCCTCTTCAACAAGCCCAGCAAGGTGAGAGATGATCTGTTACTATCAGACATTTTATTTGCTGTTTACACCCCCATGTTATGCAGGTTTGTGGTTTAGCCACATGATCCACATATGTGGTACTGTGTGTGCACTAAAACTGATGTTCTTCCAAAGTTAAATTGAGAGGTCTAGTTTAAGGTATTGGTTAACTCAATTGTTTCCTTACATATTTTCTTTTTCTATAGCTGTTAGACCCATCAGAGTGTGGCAATGGATACGTAGAGCTGGGAGAGGAATGTGACTGTGGATCACTAGTCGTGAGTTCCCTCAGATTAACTAATGTTTTATTGATTACAAACTCAGTGTGTATGAGGCAATCATTTTACCAAAACATTTAACTCATTTAACCTTAAGACTGCCTTGGAAAATTAAGATTTAACCTCTGGCTTTCAGTGTTTGTCACATACTACATGGTTTTGTGTTTCTGGACTTTTTTTGGTCATCTGCCTTTATCAGTTCGGTGTAAAGGAATTCCAAATAGAAGTTTTATCTGTGTCTGTTTAATTATTGAGACGCTACAATTTAAATTAGCAGTATGGACAAGGCGGCTAAACTGGATGAACTGGCAGTTTCTCTACCAGAGTATTAATGAGAGGATTCTCCTACTGAGTGTCACTCATCTTTCTGTTTCCCCAGTACTTGTATACTTGCTCTTATCTGCCTTTCAATGAAAGCTCACATTCATTCTCAAGGCAAATTTCACACAGCATGTAATCTTTGACCTTGAGTGAGCATCTCTTCTCCTTGACTCCATCCTGTGGGGAACAGGATACTCCTGTTTTATCCGATATCAGCTTGAAACATTTGGCTTGCAGCAACAGAAATAATAGGGCACCTTGTTATACTAGATGACCATACTGCGTCAAATATGAATCATTAGTGACTGAATGAATTGCTTCTGTTAAACATTATGTGATTGTGATCCATAGCCAGTGATTGTGACAAAACGAGAAAAATACAAAACAGGAAATTAGTTGTATGTAGATTTTCCACTACACTGGGAACACAGATACAACTGTGCTAGTTGGTGAGCTAGCCCACGAGGCTAAAGAAAAATACAAAACAGGAAATTAGCTGTATGTAGATTTTCCACTACACTTGGAACACAGATACAACTAGTTGGTGAGCTAGCCCACGAGGCTAAACAAGTGTTTCACTGTAGCCAGCTGTGTGAATTTAGGATGTCAGGAAATCCTTGAGGAAGAATGCCCTGACACTCTGCAGAGGTACTATATATTGTCTCTGACCTGTAGGAATGTGCCCAGAGTGGAGCCAACTGCTGTAAGAAGTGTACTCTTACCCATAATGCCATGTGCAGCGATGGGCTCTGCTGCAGGGACTGTAAGGTGAACAGCTTCATATTATGTCATCGCATTAACTGGATAATTTTTTATTCATTATGTCCCTTGACTCTATTTCACGCCCCTGTGGTTGTTTTTGACAGTATGAGCTGAGAGGGGTGACCTGCCGTGATGCTTTCAATGACTGTGACATTCCTGAAACCTGCACAGGAGACTCCAGCCAGGTAAAAGTAGTTCCAACACATCAGTAAAAATTCATATATCTAAAACCTTGACTGAAGATGATCTTCTTCCTCTTCCAGTGTCCTCATAATGTCCATAAACTGGATGGTTACATGTGTGAAGCTGGCCAGGTAATATCATGCTATCTGCTGAATGTTTGTTAGTGCTTCTCATGATACATTCAGTAAAACTTCCTCTTTCTGTTTGTCCTCTCTTCATCGTCACATCTATCCTCCTCCTCCTCAGGGTCGTTGTTATGGAGGTCGCTGTAAGACCAGAGATGGCCAATGCAGGACTCTGTGGGGCTACAGTAGGTTTGGATTGGATATAGAAGTTTATTTCTTGGTCCTCTGATGTTTAAAAACAGGAGGATGATGATGATATTTTTACCTCGTTACCTAGTGTTTTTATGACCATGAGAGCTTGCATAATGAAAGCTAAAGTTATACTCACTCATTTTCTGAAAAGAGCTTTGCAACAAAGCAAATGAAAGACTCTGTTCTCTCTTCTCAGACTCAGCTGACAGGTTCTGCTATGAAAAGCTGAACTCTGAGGGCACAGAAATGGGCAACTGTGGTCCGGACTCCAGTGGTCAGGGATGGGTGCAGTGCAACAAGCAGTGAGTGAACAGTGTAAACTATATAAATACATTGCATGTCTCTGAATTCAGAACCCCTTTTGTGATTATTTTATCATTGTATATGTTCTTATTTGCCTCCTCCAGAGATGTCCTATGTGGTTTGCTGCTCTGCACCAATCTGACAGCTAAGCCGAGGTTTGGCGAGCTGCAGGGGAAGCTCACCAGTCTAACATTCCACCATCAGAACAGATACCTAGATTGCAGGTGAAGCAGTTTTTCCTCTGGCAGCTTGTTAGGTTTGAACAATTGATTTGATTTGATTTATTCTTAACAATAAAGTGTATGATTAACAGAATGTGCTTGACAGTCAAGACAAGAGCAGGCACAAGTAATAGTCCAAGTGAAAAACCCTTTTGTATGTACTGTATAGAAGTGTAAATGAGAAAAACTGCCTTAATTGTGACTGTGTACTATTCATCATCTAGTAGTCAAGAGTAAAAAGGTAAATGGGTATAACAGATCCACAGCAGTCAGTTGATTGGCAGAAAAATAAACTGCAATTATATTGGTGGTCTCTTTTTCAAGAAAATATGCCAGCATTGTCTGATCCAACTTCTCTATGTGATTATTTGTTGGTTTCTTCCCTCTTCTAAAATTGTAAACTGAATATTTTGGGGTTTTCAGCTGGTGGTTGGACAAAACTAAACGTATGAAGAAATCATCATTGACATTTGTTACTGTTTTCTGACATTTTCCAGATAAACCAATTAAGAAAATAAATGGCATATTAATTGATAATAAAAATGATCCTCAGCGGTAGCCCTAACTAACAGCTGTTCAGGTAAACCCAGTTCAGATTGGCAACTCTAAGGACCATGGTTTTCCTGTGTGACCCTCTGGCCTACAGGGGAGGCCATGCAGTGCTGGATGATGGCCTGGACCTGGGCTACGTGGAGGACGGGACGCCATGTGGGCCAAACATGATGTGTTTGGAGCGTCGTTGTCTCCTAGTTACCACGTTCAACCTGAGCTCCTGCCCAGGCTCCTCATTCTCACGCATCTGCTCCCACCACGGGGTGAGTGATTCCCACCTCAGGATTGTGTGATGTGTTGGTGTTTGTGTTGTGGACCTTAAGGCATCAAGTGTGTGAAGGTTACAGAAAACAAAGCTTTGGGATTATTATGGACGTCATATGCCGAATGCTCTCTCTCACGTTTGTCCTGTGCAGACTTGCAGTAATGAGATGAAGTGTATCTGTGATCCAGACTACACTGGGAAGGACTGTAGCGTGTTTGACCCCATTCCCATCCCAACCTCGCCAGACAGCCCTGAAAAATACAGAGGTAAACCACAGTGATGACACAGTACAGTTACAGTGGTTCTTTACATCTGTAAAATAACCTGCTGGGGTGACAGAAAAATGTAAACCAAAGTAATTTGTCTCATCAAATTCCCCAAATTAAATAAAGCACCACCGGCTGGTCTCGAAATAACTCACAAAAACAGGTAGAATAGCAGAGGGTTAATTTTTTTCACTATTTAAACCAAAAAATAAAATCACATTTAGTTTTATAATGGTTTTCATGTTTTTGCAAATTAAGGCAGAATGTCTTTGGTACACAAAGTCTGATCAAATATAAAGCTTCACAGGTTATATTGCAAATAGTAGCAAGAGAAGACACTAATGGAACAAATAAATAAATTTCTATTTTTTATCTCTATAGGAACTCTAAAATTAATTGAAACAAAATAAAAATATGTGAATAAAAGTGGCTCAAATATGAGTTAGTGTTTTGAAAAGTGCAAAAGCAGCCGCTTTGGAAAATGGTGAGAAAATGTTTGTAAAAATGCACAAATATTAAATACAACAGTAAAAAGCAACATTTATGAAAAATGACTGCAGTATGAAGAGAACGAATGTGTAAAATGATTTGATTTTGTATTTTGTTTATTTAAATTTTTGAAAGGAATATTTCTCTACTTTTTCTCATAGCTTTTTTTTTTTTTTATAAAAACAGTTTGTACTAAAATGCTTTACAAGAGAATTGTATGCACATCAGTACGCCTTCCTTATACAGTATGTGCACAAATTGCCCTTGTCCCCATTCATGTGTGTGAGTTTTATTGTGGTACACTTTAGTCATCATTGCCTTTCTCTCCATTAATGACGTCACTGATTATCAGATATAAAATGTGCAGAAAAAAGCATGAACCACCAACTTGTTTTCAGTTAGAATCACTTGCTTTTCCATGTGGGGTGAGATTTTTCACTGTTCAGTTTTTCCCCACTTTAATATTTTACAGATCTTTCCTGCTTTATGATGCACATATTTCTATTTTTCAGTACTCAGTGCTCTCACATGCTACTGTATTTTTCCCTTTCTGGCTGGCTCCATCACTCCCACAGGTCCCAGTGGTACCAGTATCATAATAGGTTCAGTTGCTGGTGCAATTCTGGTGGCAGCGATCGTCCTGGGGGGAACTGGCTGGGGATTTAAGTAAGAGCTCTGGCATGCCTCTTGTCTGTGTGTGCCTGCGGTGTTTCTCTGTCGGCTCCCACACATGCTTGTGGCTCACTGCTGAATGCTCCTCTGCTTGCTGTCTGATCCATACTCACAACCACAGACGGTGGGTGTATCATTAATGCTGGTGGATGTTCAGTAGTTGGTTTTCCATCTGCGAATTTTGTTAGAGTAGGGGAACATAGTACTCATAAACCCCCTCTGATATTTTTGGCTCTTAATGATGAGATTTCTGTCATGTCACAAGAACCGCCATAGCCACTTGTAATGAGTTAAACAGGTAGTCAGATAATAAATAGCCAATCAAACTGTCAAGAATATCTATGACAATAAATCAATGGAGTTTGACCTGGAGATGCAGGTTTCCTACAGTGCACAATCCACAAGTTTTATTGATTTCCTTGCCCTTCTCCTCTATACAGCTGGATTTACTCCAAGTTTTCTTTCAGTACTTTAATTCACAGTCGTGTCTTACCTCATGCTAGCTTCGCCTGCAGCATACAAAGAAACAAAAGTGCATGTCTCCTGCTGTAATCGTTGGACTGTGGCTTGTGTGATAGCATCACTCTGCTGGAATAAATGCTGAAGTGGCAACGTCTTTGGTATTAGTTTAGTTTCGGGATAACAAAAGATAAAGGTGGATGTGATAGCTCTGTTTATCTCTTTGCTTTTAAAGCTTTGGATGCATTGCGTGTTTTCCACACTGCTACCTAGCCACATGAAGGGAAACTCGATAGTCTTACTTGTCTTTCTGTTTCACTTGTTCTGTGTCTTTGTCTGCACCCTGCATCTTGTTCCTGCCTCACTGTGGATCCAGGAACATCCGAAGAGGAAGGTACGATCCTGCTTTTCAGTGCTGATCCAAAATATCATCCTTGATCACCATCCATTTTTTAAGAGTTCTCTGCTTATTTATCTTCTGAACAGATATTTCAAAGCCCACACACACAAGTGTCACCATCATAATTTTTCATCTTTCAGACTTTGATAATATTTATTTGAATAGGGATGAGTATATAGTGTAATGCAATGCCACACGCCACAGTATTTGTAGGGTAATAAGGTAGTTTGTATAGGCCTTTTCAAAATACACAAAACTCAATTCACCTCAATTATAAACTGTATATTTACTTGTGCAGCAGCTAAGGAGCAGTTCAGAAAACGGCTGTATATCCTAGTTTGTCCCATTATCACTTGTGGTGCATGTCCCCTCACTAACATGACTGACATTCATAGAGTAGAGCTGCTGTGTCGACTGTATTTTCCATTTCATTAAACTTTCTGTAATAAAAGGTGAGCGTTTAATTTTTTTGCTTTGTGCTTTTATTATTATTTCAGTTTAAATGACAAATGTTTTTCATTTATATATGTGTATATATCTGTATTTACTGTGTCATATTTAAATGGCATGTACTTGGCTTTTTGTCTTCAACCATCCAAGCTGTTGTTTTTCATTTTAGCCCTGATAGTGTTCTCGTTTCATAAGAAAAGATTTTCTTTCCGCTAGAGAACACTGATGCCATGTAATGTATGTTTTTCATTTGATTATGACACGGTAAATACATAAAAAATGTAACTGTGCATGTTTTGCTTGTTTTTTTGTTGTTGTTTTTTTTTTTAATTAAGCGTGCTCACTCTTCCATGTCTTAGAGTTGCAGTGATAAATTGATAAATCATCAGTCAACAAATTATTTTGATAACTGGTTAATCTTTAGGCCAAAAAATCTAAAACATCTGATTGTTCCAGATTCTCAGATGCCAGGATTCCCTTCACTTATAATACAGTAACTTAAATATCTTTAGGTTTTACATAATAATTTGGACAAAGTAAGACACTTGGTGGTCTTATCTTGGGCTCTAGGGGATTGTATTTATAGACCAATATGAAAATATATCTATAATGAAATTATTTATTACATTCCTAATCTGTCTCCAGTCATTTTCAGTTTTTAATTTCTTAGTTGCTGTGTTGTTTCTATCAGATTTTTTTTTTTGTTCTTCCTCTTTGTGCCACTCCTTGTCTTCTTTCTCACCATCTTTCCTCTTCTTTTTCCAGATCTTCAGGAGGTTGAGTCATATCTCTCTGCTGTCCTGTCTTCTTTAAAGTGTCAATCTGATCTAAAGAGACAAAACAAGGATGTCTTCCACTTATGAGCCATCAGACCTTTTAATTTTCCTTTTCTGACTTCACCAACGCCAAATCCATTTGTGTCTTCTCCCACAGGACAGTCAAATCATTGTTTTGGCTGTGGTGTGGTAGCCCTCAAGACAAATTCCCTGTCTGGTGTTTGTATTGCCTTGTTTTGTGGTCATTGCAGTTTTTTATTTTCTACATTTTGTCCTGGACACACATGGCCCTTAACTTTGTGAGTGTTTTCTCCCTTGTACTGGTTACAGCTTGTCTTCTGCCATAATGAGTGGTGTTGTGTGTTACCCCTTTAAGTGAGTTTGTCACAGATGGCCATGCTCTTCTCCTAGTTTTGCCTTTTATAGGGAAGCCTACAGTTAAAACACATATTAATTAAACATATTAATGCAATAGATCACCAAATAGTGACTGTTGACATGTTCTACCTAGATGGAGGTTGTTTTGTGTGCAAAGACTTTACATTCCACAGTAAAAACCATAACTTCTCC